TCTTGATATAAATCCAAATTAAAGGTCAGAATGGTTACCATTTGTTTATACTTAGAACTTTTCGTTATAACTGTGGCTTAGATTAAACCCTCTGCTCTCTGTTTAATCTGATGAGGCAGAGGATGCTTAACCATCCTTCATATTTCTCACTAGGTGAACATAGGGTGACAAGCTGTAACTTAAAATAAGCCTATTATTCATTTTCTACTGATATGTTGATTCTTGGTAATCCTACTACTCCTAGTTCCTGTGCACCCTCACCAGGCTCCCCCTTTTGTTTTTCCTCTATGTATTCTCTGTAATGGACCCTGATAGATCCTGTTCAGGTTGACAGTCATGCCTCTGCTTAATTGTGCAGTCGTGTTGCAGCATGAACACAAATTGTCACGACTCAGAACAAAGGGACACAGCATTCAGGCAAGACAGACAGTGGGATAACTTCAAAGGAAACAGAGAAAATGTTTTAATGGCAATACAACAAAATATTCAAATAGAAACAAGAACTATGAGAAATAAATATTCAAAGATCTATGTACTTTTCACCTGGCGCTTTATCCAAAAATAACCAGTATGCAATGATATATTTGCTTTGCAATATAATTTAGAAGAAGAAGAAGGTTTTGTATGACCTCTTGTGAGCTGGCAGAAATAAAATACTGGTAGTTAGATGAAAGGAATTTTCAGGCTTGGCAGAGGATGATCAGCCACACATGGTTTATTAAGTGGTGAGAGCAGGAAGAGCCATACTGCTGAGAGCCAGGCATCAGCGTGGAGCGTAAAGCTCAGTTATTCGCACACAAAGATGCATTTCTGCACAAGCACAGCTGGAAGAGCAGAGTTTGTCAGAGCTGAGCACGCACTACCGGACGGTTGTAGGTTATTTTCATCCCTGCCGCTGCTGCCATGGTCCATCTTTGGTCATGCAGAATGTGCACCGCCGCACAGCAGGTGAGCGGCATGACAAAGTAGGACGTAGCTTCACGGCTGATACTGTTATATAGGTGATTACAGCACAATGATGCATTTTAAACCTCTGACAGACCACCCGCTAGCTCGTGTTTCTTCACACTACACTTGAAGGATGAACTGATGGATGGACACACGGACATACATAGACGGTTCCCGTGGGTCCTTTAAAATTTTTGAAAGTTTGGAAATTTGAAAACATAATTTTAAGCCCCTTTAAATTTTTTTGAGAGTACTTGAATATTTTTTGGTTCGAAATTTCACACTTGTGACCACCACTGTCAACAAGTTTGTTTTGTTTTTTGTTTTTTCGTCAGACACTGCATTCTTATTGTTCCTCTACATTGTGAGAACACTTAGCATGTTCAAAACAGCAGATGCATCAGTGTGTGCATGTTCTTGTGGGTGGCTCTGTGGGTTGCCAGTCCCGTTGAATCACTCATCCAGTCGGTGCATAATGCAATGCTTGGACAACACAAATTTCAGGATGCATGGCTTGCCAAGGAAAGCTGTGCTGAGTGGTTGTCACAGTACCGCCGAATATTACATTGTGTCATGTGCAGAGCTTGCCTCACATGGATTAGTCAAAAGCAGTCGTTTTGAATTTTAGCAAGATTTCCCATGAGAATATAACTGTTTTGAGTCAATATTTGGAGACTGGGGGTTTTTTTTGAGTAAAAATTTTTTTATTTGTCTTTTTTTTTTTTTTTTTACTGTGATTGCAACATGAGTATCTTTCTAACAAAATTGAGTTTTTTTTCCTTTTCAGAAGCTCTTTTGTCACATTTCTCTCAAAAAGGTGCACATTACAAAACCTTTTGAGCTTATACTTATTTTTTTCATCATAATACATTTCAATGAGACTACCTCATAAAACCAGGGTGCTATTAACAGTTTGTAAATAAGTTTGGATTATTCTCCTCAAATTCATCATTTCATACATTTAAGCAGGTAACCCTTAGAGGTTTTGGCTGTCAAAGTTTTATTTATTTACACCTAGATAACACCAGTGAGCAGTTAAAGCATATAAGACCTTTTGAGGAATAGACCTTTTTTATAAGTTCTGTTAAATAAATTTAAAGCTTTAACAAATGCATTATCTAACCATCACTGGAGATGTTTTTTTAAATAGTAGTATAAGCTGTGATTACTGTCAGTAAGAATGTAGGTACATAAAAGAAATATCTAAAATATTTAATCTATATTATTATTTTGGTTTTTAGATAGATAGATAGATAGATAGATAGATAGATGGATAGATAGATAGATAGATAGATAGATAGATAGATAGATAGATTTCTCAATTAAAAGCACATGTCTGCCCTCTTGTGGATCATA